TGACACTTTGCGCAGCTGCGGAGTGTGAGCATAAGATAAAAATAAAAAGAGAGGTGAACGTGGTATGAGGAAATGGTAAGAATTTTAACAGCAGGACTGGACCTTGGTCAGAACTTTAACTCCAGAGAAACGTAAACAAAAACATATTATTCATCCATTTTCTACTGCTTCATTTTTTTCAGGGTCGCAACTGAGCTGAACCCAATCCCCAGTGGTCAACAGGCATGTGTGGGGTACATCCTGGAGATTACTAACCAATCACACCACACATATGAATGAATATGTTTGGACTGAGTAACCAATCACACCACACATATGAATGGTAATCCTGAATATGTTTGTACTGTGTATGGAGAACATGTAAACAGGCAGTAAAGACAGAGCAATAAATAAATTTGTCACTGTGTGACCCGCAAACATTTCTGAACAATTTCAGAAAAGTACCGTTGAAGCTGCGAGTATGTAATCGTTATAGAATACATTAATACACTACCTATGATGAAACACTATTACATAGTTACAATTGATAAAATAAAACTTAATTGAAAGCTATATCTTTTTGCTCATAAAATACCCTACATTTGCCAAACATTCTTCAAGACTTGATAAATGCAAAGTTGTTTGAGAATAAAAAGGTAAATATTAGGTGTAACAAAAGGCTAGAGTGCTTGCGATATCAGACTACACTGATACCGATGCTAGTATTACGTTCCACCTAGAATGTAAACAAAATATAGATGTAGGCAAATATTTGCAAAACCACTGTTTTACAAGTATTGCCTATATATTAAGTATTATATAATGTTGACATTACGCGTTGTGTTGGACAAACCTCTACCTTTGTTATCTCGGTACGTGAGAGGAGGCCCATCATACAAGGTTAACTCCACTGCAGATGTGAATTGACACAAGTGGGGTATAAGTGCATAATGGACTGAATAGCTGCCTCGTTCTGTGATTATATGTAATGTAATATAACATAATGTCTATATTTGTGTCACCTTGTCTAAAAACCTTAGGGGTGTTTTTCAATGTTGGCAGTAATACAGCAGGAGATAAAACAAAATTGTATCTATCAATCACAAATCAGTCCTTCCCGGCAACACCACAGTCATGTTCCATGAGTCCTTACTGGGAAGAACTAATGGCTCCAGCTGCTGGTGTAGACACAATATGGATGAATAGCAACAAACACGGCTGGTTCAGCTCTGCTGATTCAGTTTGCAGCTGTTCAACTAAAGTCTGCATCAATGGTTGATCTAGAACTCCCATCCCATAAATGACTTACACTTCAAAATAGTGTTAAATAATCAGTAAAGGAAAAAAAAAATACATCCAATGGTAATGATGTAAAGACGTGCCATACATGTGCAATTTGCTCATTTATATGACAGGAATCAACTTTGCAACAAACTTAATGATATGCTACGCCATAAACGAACCGACAGAAACCGTCTATTTTTGCAACTCCATGTGACAATGAGAAATGTGCAAGACATGGAAGCACATGTTGGATGTCTTTTTATAACTTTGTTATCATGTATCTTTACTACATAAAAGGCAAAAAAGGTGCCACACATCAGCTTGTAAGACGGGGGCGCCGGTCGCACGCTATTGTTCTTGAGCTGTGGCTTTTGATCATCCACGTTTACTTAATCTCTCGAGTGGCGGACTTTGGTTTCACCTGTTTCAGGTTTCATTAGCCAAATGATTAAGTACACTACCTGACATTATGACGCACGTTGTGTCAAGGACTCAATCTCACCACTTGATTGGTTCAACCGAGCCCCTTGTTGACATTTTAGACAGGTTTTATTTTTAAACGATCGATTATGGATTTGTGTTACTTCCCACCCCTGGTCAAGAGCACAGCAGATGTTCCATCTGCTTAGTAAGCTAGGAGCATCAGTGCAGCTAAGGTCACAAGCAGAACATATCAACCTACTGACAGTATTTGTGCTTCATGTATTTCACCAGAACTGAAACTTATTGTGCTACACTGTTAAAGAACCAACAGTCTAAACAACTGTGAATCGACACACGAATAAATAAAATAATCACAAAACATTGATTTAAAATCCTGGTCAAAAACTGTGAGTTTGTTGTTACTCTTGTTTGGAATTCCTCTGTGAGCAGAGCACTGTTTTCGTGTCAGTGTGTGACATTGTCATTCTCATTTTACATATAATATAATATAACATAATACTACTTTTAGGGTTGTTGTATTTGTTTTATCTTACTTCTACGTGTACTTTTTGTACACGTAGTAAGGTAGAAATACTTTTCATACAGTACTCTTTGGCTAAGACAAACACAAGTTAATATCAGATCTGGGAGGCATAGCAGCCAGGCGGTGCCCAAGATCACAGGAAGACAATACGTCAATACATTTTCAGAATACCATACAGGAACAGGAGAGACACGGCAGAAAACGGTGAGAGTAAAACAGAACTAAGGTGTTACTATATACAGTGGAATAGTTGTTAAATATAAGGGGTTTTTTTACAATCACTAATGAGCCATTATGGTGTTGAAATGTGTGTCAAATGTGACTTCTGCCAAAACAAATCAAAGTGCACTGCACTGCAGGAAGGGAGTTGTCAGGGGAACAAGAAATGTTTTTGTGAATCTAGATTAGTTGTTTGTTCCAAAAATAGATAAGAAGTTCAAACAGAACTTCCCAAACCTTCACGTGACAATGTCCGCAAAAGGTCTGCCTTTTGTTGTTTTGTTTTTCAGGTTTTCTGGATTATTCTTCGGATACTTCAAAACATGTTTAAAAATTAAAAACCTCATTGGCACACATGGAAAAACACTGGAACGGCTTCACTTTCGCACAAAGTAATGAAGAAAAAAAAACAAAAAGAAACATGTTTTTGCTTTTAAATACACTGGTATTGTTGGACTGTACTCGTTGGATTTTACTCATTATTTCTATGGACATTTGTTCGGATTGCTTGAAACACAAAAAACATCAGTGACTTAAAGAATACTCATTATTTCTATGGACATTTGTTCGAATGCTTGAAACAAAAAACATCAGTGACTTAAAGAACCTGCAAACTTATTCAAAAGAGTTAAAGACCTGATCTAACTTAGGTTTTTAGTGTTTAAAATAACTCTTCACAACAGGTCTAATTACTCTGCAGTGCCCCCTAGGTTTATATTAAAATCAGCTCTGACGCAACAACAGAACTCGCTCAGTTCTCCTTTGTGTACTTGTTTACAGATAAGCTTTGTATGGTTAATGGAACTGATCCATTTCAGGTATCCCATTCGGGAACGCTATGGATTTCCAGTAAACTACAGTAGCAGTGGAGAATGGAAATTGAATAAGGCGAAGACAACATGGTTGAATCGATGTCTGCTAGCTGACTGATTATATATGAAACATGACAACTCACTTTTGTTAATACATGAAAATATATGTACTATTTTTTTTGACTCGCCGCATTACTCTTCCGTACTGAAAATGTGCCGGACCGTGACGTCAACACATGTACCAAACTGAATCCCCTCCAAAAGCTTGTTTAGGTTGGAGTTTCGTGAGTTAAATCAGTCAAGTACTGTGTCATGTAGACGCAGCTATTCGTAATTGGCAGTTAGAATGACTGTTGTTAATGAACAATTTGTAGAGCACAAATTGGCCAACCAAAGACCTGAGGTTGATCCTTGACTCTCGATTGAACAATTTAATTTGTTGGGGTTTTTTTTCCTTAAAATCTTCCACCACTCTACTGAGTTTGAGTTTTGATAATAAGACATAACCACACTACTATGACCAGTACACACTCAGTAGTATACTAGTACTTTCAGGTTCTTTTCTCTGTCGGTTCACTTTGGTCAACCTCAAGTATCAGTTTGAATCTGGCAGGTTTATGTACGTCTGTAAAAAAAAAAAATCCTCAACAGCATAAAACCATTCACACTCACATTCACACCAAAGTGAACAATATTTAAAATTCTTCATTTGAAAAAAATTCATACAAAACCAATAAACACATACAGCGAGAACATGAAAACTGAAACCAGGGTTCGAACAAGTGACCCTTTGATTGTAAGGCAAAAGCACTTAACCACTCCACACTGTGTGGCCAAGGAGTCAAATTATTTTTTTTCTTAAATATTGTTAACTAACGTATTAACTATTGTTGGTTCTTCGATTCGGTTCATTACATGCTAATTGATAAGCGTGACTATCTCTCCCGTACATGTCGGTTACCAAAGTGAAACAGTCAACAGTGAACGCAGCCAAAAGAGGAGCGATTCATATTTCTGGGAATGCAGTCTTCATGCTGTGGTGGGATTTTTCGAGGGGTGGGGCATGTTGTTCTTTCAAATGAGAAAACTCGAGGGGGGGGGTCGGGGGAGAGGGGACTTATTGGAGACAATGAACGAGCAAAAGTAATTTTACAGTAGACGTGAGCAGACGGAAGAAGATAGTTTTGTTTAGCGAACATGTTTCCCACCGCCTCCCTACCCCCACGTTCACAAACACTTCCAACCTCAGACCAACACGAAATCAGAGAGAGAAACAGAAAAGAAGAAGAAAAAAAAAGTTACTCTGCCTCCGACACTGACTTTTTCACGTAGGTGAGCGAAGCCATATCGACATCCTCACCGTACTGACGCACGGAGAAACAAACACACGCACGAAAAAAAGAGCAGTCGTTACAACATGACAGGACCGAGTGTTGCCTACTTTCTCGCCCCCCTCCCTCACTCCCCCCCCCACACACACATACGCAAACACCAGACTTGTTTAAATGCGTGTGTGTGTTTCACCGCCACAAACTCCTAACTTCAAATATGAACGTTGTGTGTATGTTTTTTTCCCCCTCAAGGACACTGCAGCTCACTGTCTGTCACCAGACGGTTTTTTTTCTTCTTCTTCTTCTTTCGCGGCAGTCTCACACTCACAACACAGCCGCGTCAGAGAGTGTCCTGCGGCCGCCAACAAGGCTAAAATATAAAGAGTAAAAGATGTCGGAAGCTGTTACCTTTTTGCTGGTCCTGTTGTTGTAGCCGTTGTAGGGGTTGATTCCTGCCCTTGGCGGTACGGAGAGCAGCATTTTTCTCGGGCGCTGTGAGCGGAGCGGCGAGCACAGCCCAGGCTGCCAGCTGACGTCAGCAGCTGGGGAAGTGAGAGCCTGGAGTCCCGCTGCCTGACCTGAGTGTGGTGCTGCTGCTAATGCTGCCGCTGCTGCTGCCGCTGCTAATACTGTTGCTAATGCTGTTGCTGCTGCTAGGCGGCAGGAGCGACCGGGTTGCCCCCCTCTTCCTCCTCCTCCCTCGCCCCCCCTCCCCACCACCACACTGAACTGCCCCCCACCGGTGGCCCCTGGGCACCTTGAAGAAGGGTTCCCTCACGCAGCTTCCCCCAGGGAGGTGACAGTAGAGGCAGAGAGATGAGATCAGTGCGACTCCCGTCGCCGCCTGCCGCTGTTTCACAATATCTGGGGATAAAGGAAGAAAAAGAGAGAAAGTTTCTCTCTGGGACAAAACACGTTTAATCAGATTAAATCGAGCCCCGTTTCTGTCTGCGGCTCCTCGCCTCACTCTCTGATCTGCTTTCTGGTCACTTTATAGACTCTGGAACCATTGTTTTTTTTATTATTATTATTCAATAAAAACACTATTAACACCTTTGTGGCAGTGGAGTTGTGTCCAGAAGGTTGCGGGTTCAAATTCACCAGCTAGCAGGTCCCACTGAGGTGTAATGAGCATGGCCGATAATCAGCCGATTATTATTTAGTTAAGTTGCAAATATTATATATCACGTGATAATAAAACAACTTTAAATTTATCAGGTTAAGAATCAACAACTTTTAATTTATCAGGTTAAGAATATCAGCTGCATGGACTTTATTTATTTAATTTGTTAATGCTTTTTAAGCTCCCACGGGCCACACAAAATGACTCGGCGGTCCACATTTGGCCCGCGGGCTTCATTGTGTGCATGAAGTGCTGTGCATCAGTGACATTAACTCAGAACCATTTCCTGGGAGTCCTAGAGTCATCTCAACATTTACAGTAAATCTCAGGGTATTTAGTAACATGAGAACATTTGTAAAAAAAATAAAATAAAATGTAGATCTGAATTTGTACTTCAGATTTATTATTCGTAAGTATTAAAGCACCATACGAGGAACTTGACTCTGTGTTTTATTTTTGTTCCGTCAGCTTTCTAAGAATAAATTCAAACGCAACAGATAAGACTAGAGAAATTACACAAGAAGGGATGAATTCATATAGCAGTGAAAAGGTTAGCTGTGTTTACACTCACCAACTGTATATTTACATTAGAACTTTTGCGCAGCTGTCTGCAGATGTATATATTTATTTAAAACATATTGCACTATTAACATATTTCTATGACAAACATTGACATTTTTATTTACATAAATTCATTAACTGAGGTGAAAAAGTATACACGCGTGGTGAGTGTTCTCGTCTGACACTGTATGATCATTAAAAAAATTCAAATATGATGGTGGTGCGTGAGTGTAAATAGTTTTCTTTTTTCATGTGTTGCCCTGTGTTGTATGAGGAGTTGTCCATTTTTTCCCTCACCGACTGCTTGGATTGACTCCCACTTCCTCTCAGACTCCAAAAAGGATTAAGCTGTAGAAGATGAATAAATGAATATATTTATATTTAAAGTCACGTCTTTGAACTATACGGCTGCATTTTTACCACTTTGTTCCTGTATAAAACTGCACGGATTCTGCTTTGAAAGGAAAACAGAAAAAATGTGTTTAAAAGTACAATTCCTTATAATTAAATCCCTGTTTTGATGACTTCCCCAGGATTATTTGTTTTGTTCTTATATCCTTGTTTCCCTTCACAGTCCAAACTCATGCAGACTGGGGATTGGGGTTAATTTGAGTAGAGAAGACCTTTCAAGTGTGTTTCCCACCTTTCTGTCAGTTTTAACAGGCATTTGCTGCAGCATCCTCCGTGAGCCCCAACAGGATTAAACGGTGGAGGATAAATGAATCAATTCTTATGCTCTTTTGTTCAGTACACACAGCAGCATCAGCAGCAGCAGCAGCAGCAGCAGCAGCCGCCGCTTAACATCCAGCAAACTCCAAACTACTGGAGGCTGCAGTCGATGCAGGGCCCGTCGCAAAGATGCTGTCAAACAAATGGGCTGAAACAAATGTCTGCAGAGAGATGCTGACTGGTTGTAGGGTAATGCTAAGCCTTTGTGGTTGCCACACTAACAATTTCCTGCAGTTTTGTCTGAAGGTCACAGACGAGGCAGTTAAACAGCAGACGCACACACACACACACACACACACGTTGGGTACTAAACGAAATAATTTGGCATCTTGGTGTGACTGAGCAGTGACCTGAAGTTACCTTTCACATCATTTCCAGTGGCTGCCCAGTCACACACACACACACACACACACACACACACTCTGGCTTCTTATTCACCGTTCTTCTGCTATATTTAAAAGCCTTTTCACGTTCTCCTGTGGCCTGTGATTGGCTGGAGGAAACACACTGACACAGATGGTAGCTGAAACCCAACACCTCAAATACAGCAGCATTCAATATAAAACAGACCCAGCAAGGCTACTAAGGGTTCTAAGAAGGACTTCATTTGATCAGCACCAACTCATGGATGGTTACGATATGTAATTAGTCATTTGTGGGGGTTTTTTGTTTGTTTGTTTGTTTTTTTGTGCCTGGACATAAACTCCACCTTTTCATCTGCTTCTTTTCCTGGTTGGTGTCATTGGGAGACAGAGTAGAGTGCGTGGACGGGTGGACAAGTCGCACATATACAAATATACAAACTAGTAGTATAGAAGTATAGAGTATAGAATCAAACCATTTAAACAGGGAGATATGTAAGCTCCTCCTCAAACCTAAAAGCAAGAGCAAAAAAAAAACAAATTGATTGATGCTGTTTCTAAAGTAAAGTTTGCTCTTGAAGATGAAGATAAAGGAGTCATTTTAGGCTGGAGATTGTTAGGGTGTAAACAGTCTTGTTTATGAGGAAATAAAGTTGATTATATTTCAAAAGACACGCACGCGCACAAAGATCTGTTTTACTGGTTGATCCGTCTGCAGCACTGACGTACTACAGCCTTCCTCCCAGTTGGGGGAGAGACGATCATTTGAGTGAACCTGTGCTGCGACTACTTCACGTCGGTGTCTGTTTCATTCATTTCAGCAGCCTGTCTGAGGGCTGTGCCTCCGTCTGGATTTAGGAGCACACCAACCAGTAACATTGTCGAACTCAGCAGAAGTTTCAGCCTGGCACCGCCATCTACTCTCAGTGACATCAACATTGTTTGGACATCAACAGGCTTGTTGCTAGGTAACCCAGCCCCCACCATCTCAAGGGTTTTGGCCCATGGATCTATACTTATTACCTCTGGATTGTGTGTGTGTGTGTGTGTCTTTGTAAGTTTTAAACAGGGCTATTTGAACTGTAGTGTATATATATATATATATATACAGTGTTATTAATGGAGTTTTTCTTTGTTTCTATTTCGGCCATCATTAAGGTTTTACTAATAATGGAACACATTTTTTAAAATAATTTTTGTATTTTTCAAGAATTAAAATGAATACACTTTTAACTGTTGGGGCTAAAAATAAATAATATGCTCCTGTTTTTTTGCAAATTATACAAAAATCTAGCTGGACGTTTTCTACTGAGGTTTGATTAACAGGTTTAAATATTATATTTTCAATCATAATTTCAAAGTAACTCAAGGCTAAATCGTCATTTTTGATCGTCAAATCTCCTTTCCTTTCCTTTCAGTTTATTACACTGTGAATAAAGACATTTACTACATCGTTCAATAATTTAAAAACAGAGGTCAGGTGACCTTTGTGGAGCAGCTTACTCGGTTCACTGGACCTTTATTGGCAATTCAACATAAAACACAACTAAACAGCTGCAGCTGAGCCCAAACACATCAATGAAATACTGCAGCACATACGTAGAAGAGACGTGGTCATAACACACACACACACAAACACACACAAACACACACACACATCAGAGCAGTGGGGGTGAACCTCTGTCAAAGTGGGCTGTTGTTTGGGAGGAAGTGGAGGCTGTGTGAGGAGAAATGTGGACGTGAATGGTGCGGAAGGTTCAGGGAGTTCATGTGTGAATGAGGGGCACGGTCACTGACATTGTCAGTATGGGGTTCAAGGTTACAATGGAGGAGGGGGAGGAAGGGGGAGGAGGAGGAGGGGGAGGAACAGAGCAGGTCTGGTTTTCAATTACATTTTCTAATCAATTTTCTGTCGATGCTGGGTTTTTAAAATATATATATTTTACCAAAGGGAATAACAGTGAAATGAATAGAAAATATTTTTTTGAACAAAATAATGAAGTTTAACTTTGACTGATGACAGAGAATCTTTAGTAGCATGTTTGCTTTTTAACAAAACAAATGTTTTTTTATTTTTTTTAATTTTTATATAATTCCTGTTTTGAATGAATGCTCAATTTTGTTTGTTTCCCTAATCCAGGGCTGGTTACGTTAAGGAGGGAATCTGGCATAAATAATCTGCACTTTTTAAGGGTCTTAAATTTGCATTTTTGTCGATGCACTTGAACACAAATTGATCAGACATAAGATACAAATTTAAAGTTTAAAAATGAATTCCTAATTTTGAATTTAAACTGACCACCTCAGTAAAAATGATGATGATTATTAAGACTGGAGCTGCTGGGCCGTTCATGGTCACAGTCGTCTGATTCCAGACATGTCCAATGGGACAGACACTCCTCAGAGAGTCCTCACACCAAGACGTTGTCCTGGCAGGAGACAGGCTCCCTTAAAACATTCCATAAAGCCTTAACATCAATGGTAACTCCAAATATATGCAGATCCTGTTGAACTGAGGCCACACCGAAACACAGAGACTGACAACAGTCTGGATGGACGCTTGAAGGTGGTCTTCACTGACCTCAGGTCATGGGTTCTTTATCTTTTAGTCTGTGCTCCAGACCACAGTGAAGACGCTTTTGGTTTTGGATCTACACCTTATAATTATGATTAACTTACATTTCTCTATAAAAACTCTAGTGTAAAATTTAATTTGATTGTATTTTATTTAGCTAAATTTTTATTTTTTTTATTTTTTTATTCTTTGCTGTGAACTGACTGTGAACCATCGTGCTGCTGTGATGTCCCAACATAAGAACATAATGTACTTACACCAACGCAGACAAACAAATGCATGTGAATGTTGTTGATACATGTCTGTTCAACAGACCACACACATTCAAACACACACACACACACACACGCGCTCACTCAGGCATTCCATGTGGCCACAGTGTATTCTGGAGGGAGAGAGTCAGAGATGGAGTTGAAATATCGACGTCCAGGAAGTAATCGTTTACAATAAAATAAAGAATAAATTTTACGTCTCGACTTCTGGTTCTGAAGGAAGAGAGATTTTTACGTCAAACCTGTTCTGTCAAATCTGTTAAGTCATTGTTTTATTTGTCAACGCTAACAATCGTAGTTAAATGTTACAGCTGTGTCTTATGTTTTTTTGATAACTTCACTTCACTTTACTTTTATTGTGTAATTGGAGGTTTTTCAGGCAGAGAAGACAATGGTATAACAGAACCACAGATCTCTGCAGTCTGGGTTTTGTTTCCCATTCACATCCAGACACTGACTCCTACGTTTTATTTTACAGTCGACCATTAACCACGTCAGGGTGTGACCAACACACTGTCACCTGAAATGTTGATTTTTTTAAATTTATTTTTTGATAAATTATGTAGAAGGTCTGGCTCTGAGAGACACATTCCGATCAAGTTCATTAGAACTTGGCGGGAAAACTTTTTTTTTTTCCCCACCAAGAGTTTAAAACTCTCTCTCTCTCTCTTTCTCTCTGCCCCCCCACCCTCTCTCTTTCACTTCTTGTAAAATTAGATTTCAAGAGTTTCTTAGAGTAGACGTTTTCCCACGTGTTCCAGCTGGAAGTAATCAGAGCCACAGATTTGAGAGAGTACAAGAGAGTGGCTGGTGATGGGGCGGGGGGGAGGAGAAAGGGGGAGAGGAGAGAAGAGGGTGAGGGGAGCTGAGCGGATGGGGGAAGGGCTGTTTGTGCATGCCACAAATTCCTTAGGTGTTATCAGCATTGGCCGCTCCATAATCGCTGCTTTTGAAGAGGAAGAAAAAAATAGAGAGCGTATGAGAGCCTTTTTTTCTTCTTCTTCTTTTTCTCTTTAATCAGAACTTATTATTAAAACTGAACACATGTTGGAAAATAAGGTTTAAAATTAATGTTGGGGTTTTTTTTCAGATGAATGTAAGATCAAGAAACAAGGATTTAGCCTGAGGTAAAAATGCTTGAAGAAAATAATTTAAATTAATCAGAAATGTGAATGTGTGGTTATCAGAAAGTTTTTTTTTCTTCTTCTGTAGCAACAACAGTGGCAACATGACAACCTTTAAAGTTTCAATGTGTTCAAAACATCAGCAGTTTCTCATGTGACTCAACAAGTTTAAAAAAAGGACTAAATACGTAGGAAGGAGCAAAACAACAAAATCTTTTTTTCTTCTTCTTCTTCACAAAACGTTTCTAGACACTCGTTTGGGCTTAATTGATACAAAGGACACACACACACTCACACACACACACAGGATGTGATTCTAGGAACTTTGATTTATTAGGTAATCTCTCTGGCTCCGAGGCTTCAGAGGGGAGGAGCGGAGCCGCAGCTCAGGGACAAAGATGTGAAGTAGAACAATGGTGAGAGTGAAAAACTTTGAAGGATCTGACTGATCCGTGTACTAGTTATATGTGAGGCCAGTATCATCGGCCAAAAATACCTCACTTTATCACCGCGGTTTGTTATAACCGCCTCTCCACTCTGCACTTCAACCTGGCTTCCATCACAGCTGCAGCAAACTGGGTGGAGGTGCATTGTGGGTTGTAGCCGTGGATGAAAGAATGACGCAAGGAATACTTGTTCCAGTCATGACACAAACCAGATGAATGGTGTTTTCACTTACTGCGTCAATAAAATGGCCCTGGAAAGAACCTCGGCAGCCGAGCGGGAGAGCTCCTCCAGCAGGAGGCGGACAAACGGCACAGCCTTCAGATGGCGCTCCAGCTCCCCCTCCATGACAACCACTCTCAGAAACAACATAACCTGTTGATAAAAGGACAGGAACAGGTTGACCCGCTGATGTGTCATGTCCTTTTGAGGACGTGAATGAAATTTAAATTGTTTTTTATTTGTTAAGAATGTTTAGATTTTAATATTTTTCTAATGATGAGATGGAACTCTGAGGAGGCCTGTTGGCAGTGGTGGGAGGAAAAGAAAAAAAACTCTGTCTTAACAGGAAGAAATCTCCAGCAGATCCAGACTTAATGTTCAGCCATCTGGGCAAAGACAGAAAGGGGGAAATGGGGGAGATAGCAGGGAGAGAAAAGTAGAAGAAGGAAGGAGCCAGAGAGCGGGAGCAGACGTACAAGGCTACCACAAAAAACGCAAACGGTACAGTTAGATCAGTGTTTCCCAAACTTTTTCTTCTGGGCACCCATATTTTAACAGTCACAAACCAAGTCAATAGACATTATTCTTAAACTCCTGGGAAAAATGATGTGAGCTGAACCAAAGAAAAAATCTTTTGTGACCCACCTGAGGGTTGCGACCCAGTCTTTGGGAAACAATGATTTGGATAAGATTTTTAAACAATAACCAAGTTAATACGGTTATGTCTGGTTCAGGTCCAGTGATAGTGATCATACAGGGACCTGTAACTAAAGTAACTAAAGTAACTAAAGGCTCCATCATGACTAGATATAGGTTTGGTAGAAGAATACACTTAGAAACCTGGCAGGAGAGAGCAGCCAATCAAACGCATTAAAATACAACACATGGTTGATTTAAAAAATAAATAAATGAAATATAAACAACAATTATACATCAGGCGCCATTGACTAATGTGGGACACACCTCTGAGCCGAGATGGTGATGAATGATGTGACGCTGCAGCAGCACCGATCGGTGGAACCAGCAGAGGGAGTTTGCTCAGGGATGAAAGACGTTAAGTACTAATGCTGAGCTTATTGTCATAATTATGAACCAGGTCTGTGTACACAGCCGGTGAGTCAGTGTCGAATGACTGCAGGGTCAAACATCAGTGTGAAGGATTAAAGCTGGGCCCAGTGACGCTGCCTGACGTTTCTCCTCACACATGCTCACACATGCAGGCGTGTGACGCACACACACACATTCAATCTGCAGCCGAGGACATGATTTTGTTATAAGGAAAAAAAAATGCATTTTTTCCCATGACAGATGATTATAAAAATCAAAGGGTGTGGCGTGTGGAGTATGTAGAAATGTGTAAAATGATGATCGCACCCAACCACTGGTCTTTATAAAGAGATAAATAAAAAGGAAATCAGAACATAAACAGAAATTTACAATTAAAATTCAAATATTTAAGTGTATTAACCAAGAAACAAATCTGTAGTCACCAAATAATGCCACATTCACTGACAAATGGTTAATAAGTAACTTTACAATTATTATTATTATTATTATTATTATTATTATTATTATTATATCAGATTATTTGCTCAGTAATGTCAGATCACTTTGTCGATGATCATGTCATTCATAAATCACCCATTCCTGTTCTTTTATCACTGCTTCACTTCCTCTTAATGCATATACAGTACAGGATAAAGAAAACTCACTGACGCCATCTGATGGCCGACTGTGTTCAATGCCAGTAAAGGTCTTAGTAAGGTTTTCTTCCCCCTTTTCCTAAATATTCACGACAAATACTTATCATCAACCAACAAACATCCAAACCCACAGTAAGAATTACTGTGATACAAGTTTCAAATTTCATCGCCGTTAACTAACCGGAAGTACTTCCATGGTCCCTGTCAGTACACTTACACACACAGTGTTTGTCATTAAATGTGTGTGTTAGTTCGTGTTCCGTGGTAATAATCTAAAGTTTAAGTCTTTATTTCCAGTTCCCCTTTGTCTCCCCCGGCCCGTTCTCCTCCATGTCTGTTTGTTGGTGAAGTCTAGATTCGACAAAATCTTTCTGCGTGATGACATTTTTGGACCTAAGTTCAGTTTATAAATTAGTGTTATGTTACTGTTGCTATGTGAACCATGTTGCAGGCACTAAATTAAAGACCTCTACGTTCGCCAAAACAGCCCAGTGTACAATTATTTATTTTTTAAATCTTTTTTTTCAAACGAGCGCAGACTGAATCAACACTAAAACAAACCGTCGTCCACCAGACTGTGTTGTTATTTTAGAAAATGGATATGTTTCATTTAGATCGTAATTTCAAAAGCTAAGTCCTCAAATATTTGAAGCACACAGAAATACAAACAAACTGTGAAAATATTTACCTTTTCACACAATGAAGCTAGTATTCTTCCGTAAAAACCGTGACAATGTAGACCCACTAGGTGTCAGTGTTGCATGATACTTTACTGAAAACGTCCAGAGTGGTTAAAAGATAAAAAATATAAGTTATCGCCTTGACTTCCGGTAGGATGACGTTGTTAGAGTTGCCATTAAATAAAAGCTATGGCAAAATGATACGCATTTAAAGGCTCGTTTTTTTGTTTTTTTGTTTTTTGTCATTTTTATGTTGTTGTTGTAAATTGTTTTCCAAAGAAGCTTTTAACTAATTTGCCTAGATATTCTGCCAACATAGTTCTCCCGTTTCTTAAACTGTTTCCACATGTTTCTAGAAGTTTAAAGTGTTGGACCGACATGGAGGAGACAGAAGAATTTGTAATAGTGCCGGACTTTGAAACGTGACACATGAATAAGACTATAGACAAACTTCAACCCTAAATGATGAGTCACCATTACTGATAATTAATTAGGTTTTCTTTTCTTTTCTTTTTCTTTTTAGAAAAGTGACAGGAACGAAGGAAAGGGGGCGGGGTCTAGTCCCCATCATTGTTCTCTAATTTGAATGACAATCCTCATTATCCATAATTAGTACTTCAGGCATGAGCTAACACATAATGATGTTTGAAAAAGCCTGAACGTGACTCACGGGGTGCCAAGATTTGGAACTTATATTAAATTAAAGGACACTTTAAAAGACAGAACCGTTGAGAAAGTTACACTTTGTTGTTTTATAGACTAATTTATCAAGAGGAAACATTTAAGAAAAATAATTTGATTTGTGCAGTATTGTCCCACAGTGTGCCAGAATCAAACACATGCCTCTTAATCAATGAGCGACACGTGTCCTTACCCTGTGTTTAATCAAAGTCGTGCCAGACTTTGATTAAAGTTCTAATGAAGTTGGGGATGAACTGAATGTTTTCCAACAACAATAGACGCTCACAGACAGGGCGGCACATACTGCTGGATGAAGAACATTTGTTTTCTGTCAGGTTTTTGTAATAAATGATTCAAGTTTGACAGGTTTGAATCTCACGCACATTCAGCAGCAGGTTCAATCCACTATATGGATAGAGATGTTTTCTCTTATCAGAACACTGAGTGTTCATGATGTGCTGGTACTGTTTTGATAACAGACAGACAGATCTAACAATGTGTCCTTACTTATGAAGACACAGCCATTGGAGGAGGCGCCTGTTACTGATAGGCCAAACCTTTCAATAATCTGTTCTATTTTGGAGACGGAGTCCCAAACTAGCACCAAATAAATACTTTTTTTTTAAAATCTCATGCTCTAATGCACTTCCCTTGTGTGTGTGTGTGTGTGTGTGTGTGTACAGTGACCATGCAGCTGATTTGAGGAACCTGCTAGAATGTGTCTTTTTTTTTTACCTTTCTGTCCTGTGGATGTGTTGCCTCCAACATATCAGATTTAAAAAAATTAATCTCTGAAAAACTACAAAAATAATAATAATGATGATGATGATGATGATGATGCAGTGTGGTTTACAAACAGATTTGTTATTCTCTGATTGATGCGTTCAGTGCTGCTGCGGTTGTTATTATTATTGTCATCCTTTGACTCAGCCAACAGATTCTACACAACAGCAAGTGTGACATTAACCTTTGGGGACTAACAATATCTCAAATCAAATAAATGTGATTTCCCCGGAGGTCCATCTGTTCAGATGGATCACAGTTTACACTGAGCGCAGGAAGTTTACAGTGGATGTTTGAATGGACGTGGATGTGGGTGTCGGGTTGAAGAGGGGAGGGCCAGCAGAGACGCTGCTGCTGCTCCTGCTGCTCCTGCTTTTGCGACGTCACCACCGACTGACTGACTGAGTGACTGACTGGGCTCCAGGCTTCAGACTCAATCTGTGGCCAGCAGCAGCAGCAGCAGAGGTGGTGGTGGTGGTGGTCAGGAGAAGAGCAACGTCTGATCCTCTCCTCTCTTCCCTCCCTGCGCCTCCTTCACCGGCGCAGCGAGAACAAAAGACGGACAGCTGCCTGATCAGAGGCTCCTGCTCTGCTCTGCTCTCCTCCTCCTCCTCCTTCTCGCCTGCAGACCTGGCTACAGCCTGATGCTGTCTTCATCCTGCTAAGCCTTTTGTGTGACAGGGGCTTTTCCATGCATCCAAGCAGCCCTTGAGCAACCGAGGGCTGCCGCGAGAAGAAGAAAAAGAAGAAAAAGAAAAAGAAGAAGAAGCCTCTGCTTTCTGCCTTGCGCAGAGACAGCGGCAGCTCAGCGAGTCCCTGATTGCGCACTGAAAAAGCGGATTTCCACTGAGGAGCATCATCTTCATCAACATCGGTTACACGTCGTCGCCTTGTCTCCAGCCTCCATCCAGCCTGACAGCACCCAACAGGGCGATTGATGACTAATTTTCCTCTGAGATAGAATCCAGTGTTGCGCACCATGGCCAACATGTTGGCGACCGGATTGCTTTTCTTGGGGTTGCTGCACACTTTGGAGTCAAGCCTTCCGCCGAGACCCATTGATGGTAAGGAGATGTGATCTGTAAACTCAGTGTGGACGAATGCTTAGAAACCCAGTGGAAGTGTAGACCTAGCTGTAGATGGTGATGGTGTCAGTGGGGGGGTTTGGGCGCGTTTTGTGCGTAGACGCACCCCCCCTCAACCCCCCCCCAAAAAAGGAAAGACTGAAGCAACGTGGAGGAGATGATGACACCGAGGCAGACAGAGTTGAAGGCGCTCTTTTGTCTGTGTCTGCCGCCGGTGCCACATGTGAAAAATCGCAGTGTCACAGCTGTGAATACACACGGACGCTCTCGCGCATCCGCTGTTGACTCCCGTTCGGTTCCTCACGCCGCTGCACAAAGGCTTTTCCCACCCGCCCAAGCCCCCCTGGAGCACCGGGGGGCGGCCGCGAGAAGAAGAAAAAGAAGAAAAAGAAAAAGAAGAAGAAGCCTCTGCTTTCTGCCTTGCGCAGAGACAGCGGCAGCTCAGCGAGTCCCTGATTGCGCACTGAAAAAGCGGATTTCCACTGAGGAGCATCATCTTCATCAACATCGGTTACACGTCGTCGCCTTGTCTCCAGCCTCCATCCAGCCTGACAGCACCCAACAGGGCGATTGATGACTAATTTTCCTCTGAGATAGAATCCAGTGTTGCGCACCATGGCCAACATGTTGGCGACCGGATTGCTTTTCTTGGGGTTGCTGCACACTTTGGAGTCAAGCCTTCCGCCGAGACCCATTGATGGTAAGGAGATGTGATCTGTAAACTCAGTGTGGACGAATGCTTAGAAACCCAGTGGAAGTGTAGACCTAGCTGTAGATGGTGATGGTGTCAGTGGGGGGGTTTGGGCGCGTTTTGTGCGTAGACGCACCCCCCCTCCACCCCCCCCCAAAAAAAGGAAAGACTGAAGCAACGTGGAGGAGATGATGACACCGAGGCAGACAGAGTTGAAGGCGCTCTTTTGTCTGTGTCTGCCGCCGGTGCCACATGTGAAAAATCGCAGTGTCACAGCTGTGAATACACACGGACGCTCTCGCGCATCCGCTGTTGACTCCCGTTCGGTTCCTCACGCCGCTGCACAAAGGCCCGATTTATGGCTGTATGAGTTTAGACAAAGGTGGAGGCGGCGGTCAGTGTTGTCCAGGTGTGAGCTTCTGTTCGCTGCCGTCGTCACGTTCACCTGCAGCAGTTTCCTCAAGTGTTTCCACGGGAGAGTAGCGGGGTGTGCGTGTCACGGTCCTGTTTCTGTGACTTCGATGTCAGATGCTGTCATTAGGAGCAGCGCTGGTTGAACTTTTTCATTTGGCAGAATGTTGAAATTAAATATATATATATATATATATATATATATATATAAAAAAAAAAGTGTGCAACAGT